CAAAGGCCGACCGATCATTAGATGACGCGGGGTCTAACCACTCATGTGCGATGTGATGACCTGGGTCTCATTGGAAAACGGCAAGTAATTGGCTATGTTCGTCTGAAAAGGACTCGCACACATATGATTCAGCACACTCATGACAAAACTTCATGTTAAATAAGCGACTAGTCTGAAATGCTGACACACACTGATGAGAGAAATCGCTAGACTCAATACAAACGCTATCAGAGGCATGTCATTAATGCCATTGCTCACGACTATTTTGTCTTCTTGTCTTGCTCATGTTTCCAATTCTCGCCAAGCTGCTTCACGTCTTCGTTGTTCGCTATGATGGCCTCTTTAGCGCCGGGCCAAGTCTTTCGGCCCCTCCCGGTGTCGAACAGACGGAGCAACGGCGGCGAATTGACACCATCCGTAAGCAAGTTATAGAACTTGCGATCTTTCCACCAGAGCTTCCATGCGTCAAGGCTGAAGCATAGCAGGCGATCAGTCACCCCGGTACCGGCAATTTTGTTCAACCAGATGAAGGTGTCACTGCCGAACATCCGGGCACCCATGTGCGGCACCGGCCCGCGCCCGAGAGTCTCCACAACCATGTCGTAGTGGGCATCGATGTCTCGCGCCATCTCCTTCTGGTCGGGGATCGGCGCTTGACCGGACCAGAGACTGCTCAGTGCCATCGTTGCAAGATCGTAGACCACGAATGGAGGGCCCATGATGAGAAAATGCCCGAGCACGGCGAGAGACTCCGGGTATTGCTCAGAGATGAATCCGCGATAAAGACGGGGTAAGGTTTCGTGAGGGTCCTTGTACTTGGCCGCGTTGATCCGCTTGTAGTTGTCGGGGGCCTTCTTGGGGTCGGTGGGGTTTCCGGCGCCTTTGATGAGGGAGAAATCGTAGTGGTATCCGGAACAGACTACGATGGCATCGATATCGTCAAGCACGGTACCGTCAGTCAGGGTGACAGACTTCGGTCCTGTGATCTCCTTGACTCCCGTAACCGCCTTCACTGAGCCATCCCGAAGGTTATCCGCCAGGTCGTTGGAAAACGTAGGGATGCGATGCTCGACTCCATCCAATTTACGAGGGGACATGAATGACGGGTGCTTGTCAAGCCAAGGAAATGCTTTCCTACGGGCGCTGACCATCGCTTTTGAGAACAGCATTGCGCAACCCCTGGGCCACCAATCGCCAAGGGTTCGGATGATTCTCATTGCTCGCAGGGACATCGTATGGTCGAAAGCCTTCCCATTCATCATCCGAGGTAGCTATTTGAAGCGATGTCAGCGTTTGACGTAATCGAAAATTAGAGCATGGATTTTGATACATACCAAGTAATATTGGCCACGGTGGCTGAGGTAAATTGCCTTCGCGTTGGCCTTCTTCAAGAATGACTGTGTATCGACACCAGTGGCTCCGACGCCCATAATCAAAACATTTTTACCTTCGTAGCGATTGGGCTCCTTGAAATCCCTCGAATGCACCGCCTCTCCTTCGAACTTGTCGATTCCCTTGATATTGACGTTGACAGGCACATTGAGAATACCGGTCGCGATGACTATGCGATCAAATATCTGTTGTTCTTCGGCTGCGTTCTCGGTATCTGACTTGATGCTGCGAGTATAAATCGTCCATTTGTTGGCGTCATCATCGCGCTCGATCTTGGTGACCTTCGTCGAGAATTGCACATGGCGCTTCAGATCAAAGTTGTCCGCATACGCTTCGAGGTAGCGCTCGACGTCCTTGGCAGGTGGATGAGTAGGGACATCTGAATATCAGAATAATCAGTACAAACGCAATAGAACTTTAACGGGACCCGAGAAAACTTACCCTTTGGGAAAGGAAAGTCTGTGTAGTGGCACTGATGATCTCGTAAGTTGGTGCTGACCGCGGGAAGACAGAAATCGTGGAAGGCAATCCTTACCGTTTGCTTGGAAGTATTGAATGATGTCCAGGGAAGCGCAGTGGTCTGTCCCTTCCTGGGACTGAGATGCCAGTTTCCGCCGATGAATTCGTTTTGTTCGATCGCGGTGACTTGCAGACCTTGCTCGATGAGGTTCTTCATCGCAACCAATCCGATCATGCCAGTACCAATCACAGCAACATGGCTTCCAACCGTGGAATGTGACTGAGACGAATCCATCTTATTGGACGACAGTGAGGATCACCAAGCAGCTCAAATCAGACACAGACTCCTCGGATAAGCGTGTACGACACTTCGAGGGTCCAAATCGGGCAAATAGACGAAAATACCAAATTGCAGGTGCATAACCGCCTCCTGGACTGGGACATTGACTCCCTTTATCCAGAAGCTCTCCGTAGCTACCTGACGTCTTTCCGCCATGGCGATACAAGGTCATTTCCCAATCCGGATAGCTATCTGACATAGGGCTCGGAGACATTTTTCACCAGGTGTCGGCGACTTCTTGGTCTCCAGCCATTGGTGGACGTGGATCCTTCAAGCCACTCAGACGGATGTTGCCCGCACGTTAGGCTACCACACTGCGTCTGCCAATTTTGAAAGACTAGCACAGCGCCATCTCTGCCACAGAAGCATGATTCTGCAGAAGGGTCCATTTTGTGAAGAATTCTTTTGTGAATTTTTATATAACCAGGGATACATAAGAGGTCCCCCTTACTCCAACTACCCCCTATATATCTAACTACCCCTATTAACTACTACTACGCTATAGCGATTATATATATATCCTTAAGTTCCTTTAATAAAGCGCTATACTTTAATAATATAAAACGCTTAATTTAATTAATATTATATAATTTATTTATCTTAAAATTTATTTTAATATACTTAAAATATCTCTATACTTTAGCTTAATAATATATTATTTTATTAAAGTATACTAATAAAAAATAGTAGTATATTTAATATACTATTAAGTTTTATACTAAGGGACTAAGTTATATATATAAAAATCTATATACTTTATTTTAGTTCTTTTAAGTAATTATAAAAAAACTATTACTACTTTTAAAGTAATAATAAATAGTATTAATATAGTATAGTAATAATATCTTAATATTAAAGGAGTAATAAGTTATAGTAGTATAAAGAAGGAGATACTTACCCCCTAGTAATTTACGTTCTTTTTATATACCCCTATAGGTAACTATAGAGGTTTCTCTATAAGCTATCCTAGCTCTCAAATATTTCCCCATGAGAGTTATATAGTAGTTAACAAGGTGCGCCTCTAGGCGGCAAACTGCGGAAGAAAAGTTAGAAGGGAAGAAAGAAAGATTCTGCAGAAGGGTCGACCCCATGTGAATGAAACAGGGCATAGTCCAATTGGATTTGGCAGTGATAGACACCACTATTGTCGCAAAAAGGGTCTTTCGTAGGGCTTACGCAGCGCGTAAGCAGCCCAAGGATCTGGCTCCGACCACGCCTTACTTATTGCAGTTTGGGTTGGAAATGATTGGTTCTCCCTCAGTTCAGAATGGAACTTCCGCTGCAGTGGAAATACTTCGCAAAGACGTGGGCTGGAGGAGTGCGGAGTATTCTATGCCGTCGCAACCATCCCGTACCAGAGCATCAACAACCCCTAAAACTCCGCATCCGCAAACCCAGTGGGTTATGATCGTTACCAAATCCCTTGAGTCGACCTTATCCCGGTATGATGTCGGCGGATGAGCGAGACGAAAGCCCGACCCCACTTGTCCACTGCGGACTTTCCATTGCCCATGGATATTGCGCGTGCAGGTGAGCGTCTCTGAATTGCAACCATTCCACGTTGTTAAGGTCCCGTGCACCCTTTGAGTTACTTTCAACTCCGCTTAGATCCCACTCGATTGGAACAGAGCAACTTCAAGCATCAACGCCGTACGGAACAGATCATTCCACTTTCCACTTATCACCTTTCCTTTATCATCTATGCCGCTTGACCAGAAGGCCTTGTTGCCAGACTATCCCAATCGTCTTCAGGAATTGCATTGAGTCTGAGAGTCTTGAACCGCAAGTAATCAAGGAGGTAAAGGTAGTCTTGCTTTGGCCCATGTAAGATCATGTTATTTACTTGATACCTTCCCAAGGATGTTGAAGATAGACAGGTACAAGTCCATAAGTAGGCTTGGTAGTAGGGCAGCACCATCTCGTTGGTATTTTACGCCGCGAACCAGACGAATGCATTGTCTAAAAAAGCACAGACAACATTCTCGTTGTTTGGTTCACTCCCAAGCGTGTTGATGAAGGTGTCGCTAATCCACATCAGCCAACTCGAATAACAAGTGATGTAGTCTACTCACCCGCCGTCATTTTTGTTAAAAACATGAGGTATCTCTCGTGGAGGAACACCTCGGCCTGCTTGAACAGCATCAAGGTTCATGTCTATCATGGCCAACAAGATCCAGGCGGGGACATGTGGTGAAGTTATGTCAAATAGTTCGTTGAAGGAAGACAGAGACATGGCCGAGCAGGAAGAGGGTTTCGATGTCAAGACACAGAAGTGCGTGTAAAACGTTGAAGATTTGCAAGGCTCATGACAGCTTTCATGTCACAGCGAATTCTCACTGAAAAATATTGGAAGCATAGAATCACCAATCAAGGAAGCCGCGGTGAATTAAACTACATACTGGCCAATGCGGATGAAGCGCAGGTAACCGTACGGATATGATGCTAAGAGCCAGCGGGGCATCTTGCTTAAGCACTGAACCACCGCGAAAGTTGCAATAGGGTACGAGCTTCTGCGCACGTAGTACAACCGACGTCCATGCTCTATTGCTGTAGACGCTCTTGTTCTACAGCAGCTGTAGTGTTAGTGAAGGCTGGGACCTCAAGCAACATGTTGGAAGTACAGACAGGCAAACTGCATCAGCAGGTGTACAGGCCTGAAACATGAATATGAGGACGCACAATGCCATATCACGGATTCATGGATATATATTGAGTCGAAATACTTTCAAATATTGTATCTTATTCTTTGCTTCAAAGGATCCTCAATGTGAGGTCGCATCTGGTAAATGACCAGGGCGTATGTCTTTGCTCAATAGTCAACTTTGAAGACAATCTTCTCCGCAGATACCTTTCCGTCTCTATTGAGGTCCATGGCCTGTGCGACTGTATTGGGACTGAGGCTACCAAGTATGTTCACACTCGGAGGTCTCAAATCTCCCTCATCAAGAAGCTTGGGAAGCTGATGATGAAGGTCTATGCTCAGTTCGTGATTTGGGATGTTGACCTAAAACAAGTCTTATTAGCAAACAATGTGATGATTCTAGCCTGTCTCTACCTAGCCTATGAGACACACGAGGTTGACGTACCGGCCAGTGTGCTTTTCCGCGATAGCTATGCGCGGTTGGGAAGGCTGTGAAAACGAACACGTCGGAGACCTCAACTGTCGAAGGCACGTTTTCCGTGTTGGCTTTACCAGGGCGAACGGTGCATAGGCGGCCCGTAGAGTCCTTGAGCGCCTTCGATGCATTGGCCGAGGACGTGGCATTGCCAATTGTGTCGAACACATGTTCCAGGTTCGGTACAGCTTCTCGAATACGTGTGATTGCTTGCTCGTTGTTATAGTCAAATACGTGGGTAGCACCGGCTACTTTGACCCTGTCAAAGTTACGAGGGCTACATGTGGTGATAACCTTATAGCCGTGTAGCTTGGCAAGCTGTATGGCAAAGTAGCCAACAACAGCTTCAACAATGTCAGTCCTCTTCGCGATGTCCTTGGCGATATGTATGCTCACAACTTCCACCCCAGATAAGAATCGGGTCTCCATTTGAAGAGTTTCGCGGAAGGCCGAGGCAGTCCAGGGAGAACAGCGCCAGCCAAGCTGTGTTAGCCGCAAGAGGAACTGTACTTGCCTCCGCAGCGCTGATCCTTTCTGGAATCTGAAACGATAGTCTTTCATCCGCGATAGTATGCGTGCTGAGAAGAGAAGATTCAGCCTTCATTCGCCTGAGCTCTGCTGGGCGCGAGAAGAGGAACTCACGAGTAAGCCCCGAGACCAGGAATCTCTCCTACAAAAGCATCAGAAATGGTTAAATGGAGTTCATGTCGGCTCACACCGGGAAATGCACATACCGCCCCAGATTAAGCCGGCGATTCTACTGCCCTTGGCGAACTTGGTCACGCTGGGATGAGCTTCCACCACCTCTCCGGCAAAGTCGCAGCCCAAGACAGCGCCGTCACCAAATGCATTGACATCGAGAGCCAGCCCTACTACCAGTCAGTGTGCGGGGGTTTGAAGACATTATGGGTGTCGCGTACGGTCTGTGGGGTTGAAGGCCGCATGGTTGACCCGAACATAAACCTGATGTTCCTGGAGGAGGGGCAGGTCGACTTCCTTGGCGGCGAAGGACTTGCCCTCCTGAACAAGTGCATTGGCACGCATGATCAGTAACCGGGGTATCGGGACTAATTGCTGGCGCTAAAGTTGTCGCTGAGCTGCAAACAGATGATACTCGTTTCTTGAGGCGGGGTCGACTTCGGATGGTAATTCCGATGCAGCGCATCTGATAGCGCGGTCAAGACACGCCCTTGACGCCCTTGCTGCGGGGCCGAAGATCGGCCCCTTCACTTGGGCGCAATGTCAACGCCACTTCAAGCCAAGAATGTGGCTGCACCGTGATTCGGTTTTGCTGTCATCAGTTCATGGTCAATTTGATTCGTGAATAAAAGGTCGGCCATAGCATCACCATCTCAACCGATTTTAAACTCAGCAGCAACCGCTACGAAGTCTCGAGCATCCATCTTTCACCCCAAGCACCAACATGTCGCAACAAACTCTTTGCCGCGTTTCTGTTCCCGAAGGAAAATACGAGTTCCTTTGCATCATTCCAGACAAGCCAGGAACTCGTGAGAAACGCATCGAGGTCCGATCGTGAGTATCTGTCGGCACTATTACTGACTCTGGGGTGCATCAGCTAATTTTGCCATTGCTAGCCAGCACTTCGCTAACGCCATGCCTTTGATGGAGAGTGGAGTCTGGAAAACAGGCGGTATGAATATCCTCCCTACTAAATCATCCATATTTGCGTGGCATTCGACTAACATCTCGATCAGGTGCCCTTTTGGACAGTGTTCCCAAGAGCGACAATTCGGATGATATGTCTTTCGTTGGCAGTCACGTCGTTGCTGTTGGCGACTCAATTGAACAGGTGCGCGAGGACCTGAGGAAAGACGTCTATGCGACTTCTGGTGTTTGGGACGTCGAGAACGTGAGTGAACGATACTCGCGACATAACGACACTTCTAATGATACCTTTAGGCTCAAATCTACGCGTTCCGCGCTGCGTGGAGAAATCCCTGAAAACTCCTCGTGATAATATTGCCCAATTCTCACGCTGAACGCATGTCGATATTGAGTGATGAACAAAAAAAAAAAAGTATGCAGCAAGAACCAGATAGGCACTGGGCGAAACCTCCAGTACTGCGGTCGGGGTGGGGCCGGCCTCCGGATTGCGGTTCTCGGGCTGCTGCTTCATGAACATCAACGCTTTTTGTCTTTTCCAATCAATGTTGCACCAAATTTTACCAATAAATCAAGACTGTGGCAGTCTCTAGCTTGTAATGGGCTCGCGAATGCCAGGCCACGCTGCTCAATCGGGTGTACGTTAAGGGATGTGAAGTGGATCCAAAGCCCGAGCATCTCGCCTAAATCCTGCAAAGACAACGAAAGATCTGATATCAGATGATCTTGATTGGGTCGCTCGAAAATTGTCCCCTTCTGAACCTTGAAATCTTTACTCAGAAGCGATCTCTTTGGGGACTTTCGGCAAGCTTATGGGACTTCGGCGCGTTTCCAGCGCACTGCGTGAGTGACCGCACTCTTGGGACCAGGGGTTTGGAGACACGCGCATGCCCAACGGTAAGCTGACTGCAGGCTGCCAAGCGAGTTTTGCCGGTTCAATACCCCGGAAACCAATGATTATGCGCTAAATGTGCCGCCATAATACCAGTGAATTTTCCTCTCATTGGCGTAGAGTCCGATCTTTGACCTTCCCCGATGAGGAGATTGGCGGTCCTCGTTGACGCGATAGCTGAGTCTCGACATAAAAAGGACAGCATCCCTTCGGTCAGCCCCAAAGTCCCTTCGGGCCTACACCTGAGGAAGTCTTGCAGATGGCAAAGATGAAGGACGCAACACTCATCGTCGGCTTTGTTGCCGCCCTGGTTGCTGTTTTCATTATAGACAAGATCATTCAAGCGAGAAAGAATGCCCGACGCTTGCCTTTGCCGCCCGGCCCCCGAGGCTATCCCATCATCCAAAATATGTTCGACCTTCCCAAAAAAGACACATTTGCCGCCCCTCAATATGCAAAATTCAAGGATAAATATGGTGAGCATGAACACTGCAACAAGAAAACACTGCGCCTAACCACCATCGGAACTCAAAAGGTCCCATTACCGCTCTTAGGGTCATTGGAAAGCCGTTCATCGTGATCAATGATCCTCAGGTCGCCCTAGATATCTTGGAGAAGAAGTCCGCCGAGTTCTCATCAAGACCTAGCTTGACATTTATTGGTGAATTGTAGGCCTTGGCAATCCTCGAAATCCTTCGGTCTTCCGATATCGAATCGCATCTAACAGTGATCAAGGGTTGGTTGGGACAAAGCGACGGGCGGCATACCTTACAACGACATCTTCCGCCTCCACCGCAAAGTCTTTGCTCGCATCATCGGAACTAAAACAACAGCGGCGCAATTTGATGACCTTCAGGAAGCCGAGGTCGGTCACTTCCTGCTGCACGTTCTTGACAACCCGGGAAATCTGAAAGAACATATCCACAAGTAGGCCAAACTCGTGTTCATGCCTTGGAAACGACAGCTAATATGCTTGAACTTTAGGGAGGCTGGCACTGTGGCGCTGAAAATTGCCTATGGCTATAATGCCGACCAGTTCAAGAAGGATCCCTTCCTCAGCAAGATGAATAAGGTGATGGACGACTTCGCACGATCAGCCGTTATTGGACGTTACTTAGTTGACTTCTTCCCGATATGTAAGTTGGTTAATAAGTATGTGGTGTCTTGTGTTACAGTTATCATCTAACACTGAAAACCCATAGTGAAATACCTCCCTGACTGGTTCCCGGGTACTGAATGGAAACGGCAGGCCAAGGAATATCGGGCCGATTTCCACGATGCCGTTGAGAGACCTTACAAGTTCGTTGAAGCTCAAATGGCTGAGGGCAGAGAAAATCTTTCGTATCTCGCCAAGGCGATGGCTACCAGCGAGGACACCCCAGAAGATGTACACAACAACATGTGGACCGCGGGATCGATTTTCAGTGGCGCCGCCGACACAGTAAGACACTCGCCAGCCTCAACGCAACCTTGACTGAGGTAGTAATGAATATCAGCTGACCAATACCAGTCCGTGGCATCGGTTAATGCATTTTTTCTCGCCATGGCCAAGTTTCCTGAGGCACAAAGGAGGGCCCAGGAAGAAATTGACCGAGTGATTGGCAGTGACCGTCTGCCCACCGTCAGCGATCGTGACAACTTACCATACCTTGAAGCACTCATCAAGGAAGTACTACGGTGGCATACAATTGCCCCGATGGGTCTCCTCCACATGAGTTCTGAGGAGGCTACGTACTCTGGATACCGAATTCCTAAGGGCTCCCTCGTACTCTGCAACATTTGGTGAGTGTCTCGGCTCCAATGACCAACTTGGTTTCGTTCCAACCATTCGGGATACTTTATTGACGCGATGTACCAACAGGTGGTTCATGCACAACCCAGAACTCTACAAGAACCCCTCCGAGTTTCGACCCCAAAGGTTCCTGGGAGCCGAACCAGAGACTGATCCGCGTAGATACGTGTTTGGGTTCGGTCGCCGAATCTGCCCTGGCAAGATTCTTGCCGATAACTCGCTCTACCTCAACTTTGCCCAGTCGCTAGCCGTGTTCGATATTGGCAAACCGGTTGCCAACGGTAAAGAGTACGAACCAGAGTTTAAGCCGTTACCAGGGGCGATTAGCCACGTAGCCCCTTACGAAGCGACGATTAAGCCTAGATCGCCCCGACATGAACAATTGATCCGGTCCATCGAGCAGACGTTTCCTTGGCAGGAGTCGGACGCGAAGGGATTGGAGGCAGTGTAGGCCCCGACTTGTGATGGTCTGTTCATGATTGCGAATAAGAACCCGTGATCCGACTTGGTGGCATGTAGATAGGGAACAACGAATGCATTGACATCCGATTCAAACTACCTTCGGTCATCGATTTTCGAAACAGTTCCACCATAGGAGGAGGGCATCACGATCGCGGGAGGCCCGAGGGCCCATCATATTCAACGTCGGATGATCGTGGTGGAGAACCCGCTCAACATGGCTTTTAGGCAATGGGAAATCTGTACGTCTCGTAATACGAGAGTTGCAGTGACATAATCCTGGTCTGGTTCAGACACCTGTGCGTCTCGAACACCCGGTGGGAGGCCGTGAGCGTGTTGATCGGTCGTGCGAATAATCCAACGAGCCATAAATGAACGACAGTTGGCTGCTATCCACCTCGGAAACAGAATGAAATACCATGCAAGAGTAGATGTAAGTTGAAATCGAAACGAGGGTAAATTAGCCCTGCATATGGGCGTCTCGCGGGAGCGACCTCATCGCGTCGCCAAATCTTCCCAAAACACAATCCCAAAGTAGCAACTCGGCAAAGGAACCCCCTGCAATTGCCAACTGCTGAATGTTTGAATTGACCTTGGATGTAACATTTTTTACGCGATTGTGGGGAGACTCTGAGACGACAGCATGGTTGTCTCGAAAGCCGAGGAGCACGGAAACAGGGGTGTTCGTCTCAACTGCCACCTCCGCCTCCTGATTCGTCTCATGTCTACCAAGAGTTGCAATTGACCCCTAATAAGCTTGATCCGATTGATCTGCAAGAGAATCTTAAAAGAGCCGCGTTCCCGTCATGTTTGCATCTGGTTGATCTCTGTCCAACAACCTGCGAGCGGGAAATTCACTTCAATCTGTCAATTTTTTGTAAACCAATCCTGGCCGGCCAGACTTTTGCGAGCGTCGCTTTCCAATCGCTACACACCGACCCGAAAATCAACAACTCACTCTCCATCTCGCTGCCAAAATGAAGTTCCAGGCTATCCTCATCGCCCTCGCGAGCATCGTCTCCGTCTCTATGGCCGCACCTACGCCAGCAAAGTCCGATTCTGTCCCCGCTAAGGAGAACAGCGGTGGTCGCACTGTGTTGGATGGTGCCCAGTGCAGTCCTGTACAAGGTCGTCTCGTTTGCGACGATGGCTTCGGAAACACCTTGTAAGTCCATGAGCATTGTTGATGAGAAGATTGATCGCTGACCATGCATAAGCTTTGCCGACGACCCGTTTTCCTCTTAGAGATCCCAAATGCAGAAATTCTGTAACATTGCTACCTAGAAAATTGGGAAATAGTCCAAGTCACGATGCATCTGGACGGCGTGAGGCCTGGAAATGAATAAATCATTAATGTTGATGGATCTGATGTGACGGGAAAATGCACCTATTGAGAGCATGCTCCTTATCGAGGCAGGTGTAGATCTCCACGTGACGATGACGGACTCCACTGCATGAACCTGGGGCGCAGGGATCTCATCTCGTTTACCGCGTTCATGACGATGCTGTTCGGCCGAAGTGTCACCAAGCCATTGATGGATAGCTTTTGCTTGGAATCTTCACTTGATTTCGTCTGTACTTCCTTTATGTTGCAGTACCAAACGTCACAATCGGCATGGCGTCATTGGTCAATTTGCCTGGCGAGCTGCACCATCTCATATTCTCCCACTTTTCCACGGACACGAGAACCCCCGATGGCGGTGAGAGCGCAGAGTTCGGACAAAACCGCGCTGGCATCCACACTTTAACCCTTCTCTCACGGACCTGCCGCGGTCTCAACCACGCCGTCAAGCCATACCTCTATGCGGAAGTCAATCTTGAGTCACAAAGCAGCCGGAAACTCGTCGCCTTGCTCAGACATTTCGTCAACGACCCATACTCGGGCAGCTGTGTTCGATGGGTGCGTATTGACTGGGATGGTCTCCTTTGCCAGAAATTTGATTGCAGTGATCAAGAAGCCAACTTCCTTGCCGATGTGGCAAAGAGCCTCCATTTAGACGTACCGCCGGCTCCGCCTTGGTACTCTGCAGACTGGAGAAATGGCTTCTTGGCGGGCATGGTGCTTCTCAAGTCAAGCGGTGTTGAACTTGTTGACATCGAAGGATACAATCAAAGCTTCTGCTCTAGTATTCCAGAACAGCCCCCCCGGCCCGAACTTCGCCATTTCACACAATTCAATCATGCATTGCATACTCGGACAACTAAATCGACGAGAGATTTGTACCGCCTCATAAATCTTTCGCCTCATCTCCAAGGCTTCCGCTCAGCCGAGTACCTTCCGGCTAATCCCTTTGATATCGATTGGTCTGAAGTCACCACCCTGGTTCTGGAAGAAAATGAATTCAGCGGCGGGACTTACTATTATTATGTATCGACGGCGGCACTCGTCGATATTTTGCGATCGTGCCAAAAGCTGCATCATGTACGGATCAAGCCGACACAGAATAATGGTCCAGCCCCAATCGTCCGAACACTTGAGAGATTTCACAAGGACACCTTGAGAAGACTCGCCCTTGTATCATTCCCTCGGGAGGGAAAAGACTTGGACATTTCATTCAGTGCCTTCAACGCACTCGAAGTTCTCGAAATTCACGGCAACATTTGCAAACCTGGGTTCGCCCTAAGAGGTCTCCCTCATTCACTCCAAGAGCTGCGACTGGATGGTGACTTTCACGGTGTTCGAGAAGACTTCGAAATCTTTACTTCGGAGTTCACGGAGGGGTCTTATCCTCGTTTCGAAACAGTCAGGTTTCAGCCCATGTATTCATGCTTTCATGACAATTGCCCTTACATATTGGATGGCCATGTAACTCTGGAGGACATGATCCAATACAGAGATTGGCATTTTGATGAGGCTGAAGCCGACGAATACGAAGGAGGAAAATGCAAGACGCAATGGGAAATAATATACGGGCTTATCAATGCGGGAGTCAACGTCTGGGTTGATTGAGCACAAAGCTGGAAGATTTCCATGCAAGTATATCAGTTGTTTATCAATACATCGTGAGACTCTGCCCTCAAAAGTGTTAAGTATTGCGGTGACTACCTAATTTACCTTCCCATCCAAGCTTTATCTATCATCTCTTCGACACTTACTGGGCGTATGTCCGGATACATGTCATTCATCCGCTTCTCTTTTGGCATCTCCATTAGGTGACCGATGATAAGTCGCCCAAAAAAAGATGTCATTTGCTTCATCCGCAGCGCCGCATCTCCTTCTAAGTCCCCCAAAAGAGTGGCGTCATTGTTCCTCAATTTTTCCTCGCCGTCGTATGTGACGTGAAAGATGCCCCCTAGCGCAGTAAGTTAGCTCCCATGTACGTGCCATATGCTTGGTATTATTTCAAAATGCCAACCTCGAACATCTTGGATCTTGGCCAAAGCCTCATTCAAAGTCACATCGGAACCGACAACGATGCTGTACTCTGGCCAATCCTCGGATTCGAGTGAACGGACAATGAAACGAGCCACATCGTTTGAATGGGTCAGGCTGATGACATCGTTACCAGAGCCAGCAATCACGGCCCGTCGGTTGAAGACGTCAATGGACCAAAGGCCTGGCGACATGTGACTAGGAAAATGAGGCATCCCCCAGTAGTCCATGAGATAGCCATTCACAAAGCGGGTGTACTGTAGACTAGACTTCTTCAGCCTTTCGGCAGTCTTGATCCACGGTGTCGGAAAGGTTTCATCTCTGCCGTCTCTACCAGTAATACGTCAGCTTTTAGGAGCACATTCGGAGACAGTACCTCAGTCCATACTTAGGTCTATTGAGAACCCCGAATTCGCTGGGTATAAAGCGTCGGGTCGTCTTTGACGCTTCTGCCGCATCAATCAAGTTGAGTTGCGACTTGAACGAGGGCTCGGAGTGCATGGAGATGGCGCTGACGATTGTTTCGACGTTGTGCGAGTCCAAGACTTTGACCAAAGATTCCACGTCCTCGTAGTCAACCTGGACTAGAGGTGGATGGAATGATGGTGCACTGCTCTTGATAGGTGTTAGCGACATTCCCGAGCCAATCTTTGGATCACTTCAATCACCTTTCTACTCAAAACAATGAACGGATATTTGTTGGTAAGCTGAAGTTGTTCGACGATAGCTTTACCCATGCCACCAGTACCACCAGCAACAGCTATCACACCCATGTTGACGATAGGATGAGTTCAATTGATGGGAAAAATAGTACGTAGAGTCCCTGACACTCTAAGATGATGATCAATTCTGCTCCGACGCGGTCTGGACTCCTGCCTTTATACGTCAACAGCCACTCGTTGCATGCACACCACAGAACCGGATTCGCTGAATTAATTGCAAATAAGCCTCTTAAGTTGCAGATATCATTTGTGAATGCGAAAACAGTGGCAATCAGATGAGGATGTCGGTACGCTCGGGCGCCGTATCCCACAGGTGCCGTCCGTTTCCGTGGCCGAATGTTCACACCACTACGGAGCGGGGCTGGTTGATGCCCGCGCCGGTACGCTCGTCGGCGGCCAAGAAGGTCCGGAGATATTCACAAAGTGCGGCAAGACCTTTCTGGAGATTGTTTTACTGGTAGATTTCAGTACGTGGCTAAATTACCTCCCCGATGATCCAGCATTTCCTAATTGGGTGAAAACCATATCCCAAAGCCTTAATTATCCCAAACTCCTCGCAATGCCAATATAAATGCACCATCAACAATCACAAAGAATTCACAAAATTGAAACCGACGATTCCCTCTGCCACTGCGTTCTCCATTTCGGCCTTTGGGAATACCGAGACTCTTCGTCCGATGATCCCGTCATCTCCAACTTGTAATGAGATCGGCTCATTGAGGGCAAGCTCCAAAGTTGAGCCGTCTTCGAGTACGGATGCATTGGAAAACGCCAGTTGGTGGAAGAGGCCACAGTCTTCGGGTCTTTTCGACAGATCGCCAGACTTGCTATTGCAGACATAACACGTTAGATGTGTCCTTAGTCTTCTTGCGTTTGAATTTTGCAACTTACTGAATGACGACGACAACGTCCGACAACGTGGGCAAGTCATGGTCCCCTCCGCTGGTGATCCTCGCATGTGTGGCAAACGGACTGCTCGGCTTGCCCGGCGTGTGAAAGGATAGGTCGCCTCGGAGTCTGCAAAGTGATGTTGGCGGACTTGGCTGGCAGAATGGTTGATTGAGGACGGCGAGCGCGCCACCTCGAGGCTTAGTGCAAGTATCCGGGCCGCACATGTTGATATTTGGGTTGAGTTGAAAAGCGCCTTTGGAAGTACCGTTGGGAATTTCTTGTTGTAATTCAGTAAAGGGAAGAAATAAAAAGAACAGTGTTCAAGAGGCTGGAATGATCAGTTTTTCAGCAACATCTAGACCAGCTCAAACTCCCTCAAGGTCCTCATCCCTTTCATAACCCCTGTCATCCCAAAACGAGCGCGAACGGGACCGGCCCGGGGCCTCTCCACACGTCAACTAATAATAGCGGAGCCAATCATAATCATCCATGAGCTCCAGAACAGGGAATCTGGATGAGCAAGTTAGAGCAATATTGATCAGGTAATGCCCGCGTGCATTGTGCACGATCGCCAGATGACCAAATCTCATCCAGAACAGCTGAACTGTGAAGAAATCGCATCACAAGATGTATCGTGATTGATGTTTTATTCCAAAAAAGCTGGTCAACGTCCCCACCATCTCCATGACTCTGACCCATGCACACCGTTGAGTGGTCGAGATCAGGTCTAAGTCCTACGCCAGCTCGCGGCCATCAAGGTGTCCGTCACATCATCGGATTCGACGGAGGATATCCCCATCATTGCCGAGATGATGAAATGTGCTCAGTACCCCTCCTTGCCCCGGGGTGACTTCTTCTCTTCCTTCTCAGGTCCAGCAGCTTACCCCTCCATCTTCTGTTTTTCTCATCCTCAACTTCTGGCTACGAAATCACCTTACGCACAACCTACCTAACTAAGACACGTCCAAGTGACACGAAATTCACCATGGCCAGCTCACAGTACACGCTTCCCAAGCTCCCCTACGCCTACGATGTACGTATCACCCCTGCTTCGGCACCAGGAACTCCGACTAACCCCTCCTGAAGGCGTTGGAACCTCACATCTCAACCCAAATCATGGAGCTTCACCACAGCAAGCACCACCAGACCTACGTCACAAACCTGAACAAGGCTATCGAAACATACAACGCCAACCCTCTCCAAAGCCGCATCGCCGTTTTGGCAGCACTCAACTTCCACGGCGGAGGCCACATCAACCACTCCCTCTTCTGGGAGAACCTCTCCCCTGCCTCTAGCCCGGATGCTTCTCCCGACTCCGCACCCAGCCTGATCGCCGAGATCACCCGCGTCTGGGGCGACCTCGACAAGTTCAAGCAAGCATTCAACGCTGCGCTGTTGGGCATCACCGGCAGCGGCTGGGGCTGGCTGGTCAAGGACGACACAACAGGTCTCAGCATCATCACGACCAAGGACCAGGACCCCGTCACCAAGGGCGTGCCCATCTTCGGCGTCGACATGTGGGAGCACGCGTACTACCTTCAGGTTTGTGGATACTTCTTTTTTTAACGTGTCAAACGGAATCACTGATTGGGATGGATACGTAGTACCTCAATGGCAAGGCGGCCTACGTCGACAACATCTGGAACGTCATCAACTGGAAGACTGCCGAGTCGAGATTTTCTGGCAGCCGCGACGATGCTTTCAAGGCCCTTAAGGCGGTCCTCTAAGTGGGGAGATTACTTGGGACGTAGCGGAATGAATTGACGATGACATGCAAGGGCTTCGGATGCTACTGCATCAATGACCATGGGTGCTAGAACCGATCACCAACGGGTCGATCGGTTTGCAAGGCTTAGTTTTTCCCGTCAACGTAGCTTGCTAGACTAGCATCCCGGTCAGACCATGAAGAGATGAATTCAAGTGGCTGGGGATAAACAATCAAATTCAATTTCGAGAGACGGTATCGCAATGTGGCCCTGCAACATCCAACGCTGCCGTGTAACCCATGTCCGGCAAGCCTTGGCGAGGGTCCTTTCTCGCACGTATTAGTCCCTTGCTGTGTCTCGGCTGCCTGTTTGTAGCCTCTCATCCACAATGTGAGCAGCCCGCGTCGACATCAACTTGAGCTGAGTTTTCCCGTGACGGGGTACGAAGCCACATCCACCCTGCCAACGTCCACTGGCGCACGACACGTTGCATTCGATCGCCCTCAACCATGAGGCGGCGCAATACGGTCGCATGGAAAACAGAGCTCAAAGTTCGTCCGGTCAGACCCTCTGCGTCGAGGGACAGACCCGAGTCCCGTCCTAAATTCCGAGAGTCAAGCGAAGACAAACACCGACGGGTGTGAGACGGATCATCCGACTCGGAGGAGACAAGACGGAGCGCAAACCGGCAATCTTGGTCGACGAGAATATCTCCGTCAGGTTGATGGTGTGGCTTCCCCGCCAATCTATGCCACCAGGCATTTCTGCCAGCCGTAATTGCATCTCCGCATAGTCGGTGTGTATCTCGCCGCAGACTGTCAATCTTGCGGGATCTCCCAGTAGCCTAGCTGCATCACGCATGGCTCCGAGCTGAGGTGAGGCAACACGAGCCGTGCTCCCCTTAATAAGCACAATAAGAGCAGAATGAATCATTCCGTGACGGCGTCAGGTGCATTGGCCAAAATGCCAATGGGAAGCCGACGATGTTTGGCTGCGATAGTGTACCGGCAGCATGCAGCTGGCCCCATGCAGGTACACACGCTCTGCAGGGGACGCTTTTCGTGTTGTACGGTACTTGCCCTGCGGCAAAGCGCAAAGCCTGTCGCTTTTCAAATGCTGCAAGATTCTGGGTACGGCAGCTGTTGTATCTACGATGGTGAACCCAAACCTCTGGGATGGTGTTGGGCTTGGGGATGTGGAACGATGGCTGATGGGAGGGCTGTTGGTCAATTTTTTGACGGCGGATTGTGAAAACATCTTTCGTGAACAAGATTCTTCAAATTTGCGGCGAACTTGGTATCCCCGACCGCTGGATTGTGTGCGCAGTCGGTTCATGTTGCCTGAGATTGCGTGGGACGGAGACTTGCAGCCGCTGCCGAACCCGCGGCCTCTCCGGCCCTCCTCTCCCGTGTGTTCAGTGTCCAACTTCTTTGAGACAGCGCCAAATTCGTTTCTGCAATGTTAAGGTAAGGACAGGGTCGATTGGCGATGATGATCTGTCTGTCATTGAACAAGGTGCATAAGGTTAAAAGCGAGAAAAGCGTGCATACGACTGTCAATCTGCCCGATGATCCTAGCAGCGACAAACAAACTTGGCGACTCGACTGTCAGTGTCAAATCGGAAGCTTGCTCCGACCCATGCAGGTTTCCACGTTGTGGCTTGATGTAAGGTAGGCAGATTGCCATCAACCCGCCAAACGGCAGCGGGTTTGCGTCCGGCGGTCGCCTCCCCGCAAATATTCTTAGAAACCAAACGGCTTTCTATGAAGGGGGACGTTGTGGCTGGGATCAGATAGATGGCTGCAGCAGGATGGAAATTTTGTTGCTTCATTCGATTGGTCGACTGTCCTTCCCCAACGACGTCGAGGCAGTGAGAGACAAACCGGTTTACCTTGACACGCAATACCGAGACACTCAAAGCGAGTGATGTGGCGCTCGCACTCGACGGCCAGCTGCATGGCAAGCCCTTATCGAAGCCCGTTCTAGATTGAGGGCAGGCTTGCGTGATGAGGGTGTCTGCCGAGCATCCCGTTTCCCGTCCGTGTTGGAACGGGTGCGGGCTCTGAGTTGGCTGCGGTGTTATTCTGGCCGGCATAGAAGGTTGGACAATCATTTCATGATATAAAGGAGTGCAGCCGGCGAAAAAAGACGGTCTTGTTCTGTTTAGTCTCCAGCCAGCACGAACTGTCGCAGCATCACACTCGTTTCCTACTCCCACTTCTCTTGCTCGCCATGGTCCTTCCTGCCTCTGGTCTCGCCCTCCTGGGTTTTGGGTAAGTCGTCATTCTCAGTCATCTTTGTCTATGCTGACTTGGCAGTGCCTCCTTGGTGAACGCCATCCCGCAGGCCAACCACATCATTGCTCGCCCTCCGGCGACATTGACCGTGACTTCACTTATTGAGATCACCAACGAAGTCACCGTCACTGCTTGCGGTTCCAAATGTGCCACTGCGGTCACAGCCACCGTGACTGAGACTCAGCCGTGCTTCTACACTTGCTCCGCATCAGCCTCCAGCTCCGTGCCCGGCACATGGACTTCAACTCCGTCTTTGCCTACAATCAGCATCCCGCCGAAGCCTTCTGTTCCCACTAGCTACGTCAACTCCACCACCGGTATCCCGACCTCCTCCACTCCATTGGGTACCGGTTCCTCAACCAGCCCTACCTCTGTCTCTCCCCCGGACACATCTTCTCCTGGCACCACGGTCTCAACTCAGCTACCCAGTCTGACCACTTCTCATCACTCGCCCGCCAATACCACGTAAGTTGGCTTCTGTGTCTCTCACTTGGACTCTTCACTGATGTTTCTTCAGGACTCGTACCCGGACGAAAACAATCAAGACCAGGACCTTGACCCTGTCTACGGGCATCTCCCTCACCACCGGTACGGGCACCGGTGCCAGCAGCGTGCCGTACCCCAGCTCCAGCCTCTGGAGCAACACCACTCGCCCCATCCCTAGCACCACTCCGGGATCCTTGACCACCACCGAGGCCACACTTCCGACCATTCCCATCCCCACCCCGTCGGATGTTGATACCACCTCTGCTCCATGCACCACCTATGGCTGCCCCTCGTACACCACTGCCACCTACACCACGGTCATCAATACCACTGTATCGGACCAACTCCCGGAGACTGGCACAGCATCCCAGTCAAAGACGACCCTGAGATCCACCATCATCGTGACTGTGACCAAGTCTCTACCGTCCAGCACCGGCACCGGCTACAGTTCCACCAGCCCCGGCACCGGTATCTCCACCGGCTTCCCCTCGCACACCATTCCCACCAGCTCCATCAAGCTTTCTTCTACTCTGAGCTATCCCACGACCACCTCATCTTCTTGGACCAACACGACTACAACCTCTTCCGGCACCAGCACTGAGACGACCTCGGATGACGTGACCACCGCCACCGAGTCGCCTTCTTCCACCAAGAAGCCCTGCACCACGCACAAGACCGAGTCTAGCACCGAGTCCAACATCGAGTCGAGCACCCAGTCCAGCACCTACCCGGCAT